GCATCTTTCTCAAAGCCAGGCCTGGTGGCTCATGCCTTCAGTCCCAGCAGGGAGATCCCTGAGTTCGAGGCCAGCCTGGTCTGTAGGACCAGGACAGCCAGGGCTACACAGACAAAATCTGTCTTGAAAACATGGAAAAAGCAAAACCCAAACAACCTCACCCATCTTTCCTAGCCCCAACCCTCAAAAGTGTTTTTACTCAGTCTGTAGGAAGAGAATTTTCATGGGATGAAGTCTTGGTTGATCCCAGAACTGAAAATAAAATCAACAAATATCTTTAAAATAAACTTATTTTGTCTTTTGACAAGAGCGTATAACTCTTAGTGACAACACTGAGGTACCCAGGGGCGTAATGCAAGGGCAGGGCACTTACACAGCACGAGTGAGTCTCTGAGTGTGGTCCCCAGCACCATTACAAAAGTCAATAATACGTTCTTACACTATAAACAACTTCATGGACCACACTAGACATAATCAGAGAATTGCTTTGAAGTTATGACTAGCATCTATATATATGCTTATCAGGGACACAGAAGCCTGTATCTCATCTCCCATCACAAACATGTACACACCTGTACATGTTGCTCTGCAGGTTCAGAGTGCAGCTGGCGGTGTTTAACCCCACTCAGTGCTTGTTCTCAGTTTCTTTTCCCTAGTTAATGATTGTGTTTGCTCACACGGTTAGGAATAGTTTCTGAGACACTTTAGGACCTGCTGACTGGGGTCATATCTTCACTGCTCTCTCTGAAAAGACCAGAGGAGTGTGAGCCCCTTTCTTTCTTTCTTTCTTTCTTTCTTTCTTTCTTTCTTTCTTTCTTTCTTCCTTCCTTCCTTCCTTCCTTCCTTCCTTCCTTCCTTCCTTCCTTCTTTCTTTCTTTCTTTCTTTCTTTCTTTCTAATGGAGTTTCACTATGTAATTTAGTTTGTTCTCAAACTCCCAGCCCAATGTGATCTTGTCCCCATTCTCAGGAGCAATGTCCATTTTTCTCCTCAAGAAGTAATGTGCTGAGGCTAGAGAGCTGGCTCAACCATTAAGAGCTCTGGCTGTTCTTCGCAAGGACCTGGGTTCAAGTCCCAGCTACCCACATGGGAGCTCACAACTGTCTGTAACTCCAGTTCCAGGATACCTGACACCCTTACACACACACACACACACACACACACACACACACACACACGCAGGTCATCAGTGCACATTTAAAAAATATGTGCTTCAGTCTGATGAAATCTGGAAGTTTCTACCAAGGCTTTTCTCTGCATTTATAGTCTTTTTGTCTCTGTGAGCAGGGAGGCTATGTGTAGCTGCTTAGCAGGCAATGGAAGAACTGGTCACGGGGGATGTACCAGACACTGGGGAGCTGAAGACCCCACAGAGGAGTTGAACAGAAGCTGCTGGCATGATTCGAATCTAGGTCCAGCTCATGCATGACACCTAAGAGCTTCAGTCTTGCCTTTGCCGTCTTGCTCTTGTCGGACTGATGCAGTGGGGCCTGCCGGGTTGTGGGAAGCAATTGTTCTCTGGTCCGGTGGTACAGTCTCAACCTTTTACTAAGTCTCCCCTCAAACTGCTTTGCTTTGTAAGAGCCCTCTTTCATTTCCTTACTGCTGCTCACTGAGACAAGAACCAGGGAGAGGAGGTCAGAGTTAGTGCTTCCTCCTGTCAGAGGTTAGAGAATTAGGATTTAGTGAAACACTTTTCCTTGAAACTTTTTGATTTTGATTTGTAGCCAGGGTCTTTCCATGTAGCACTGGCTGTAGTGGAACTCTCTCTGTAGACCTGGCTGGCCTCGAACTCACAGGAATCCACCATCCACCTGCCTCTGCCTCCTAAGTGCTGGGATTAAAGGTGTGCCCCAACATACAGACCTTGAAGGTTTTGTTAAGGAGGTTAGCCATGGAAGGTTCTGGGCCTTTTGAAGGATGAGCTCATTTTAGCCTCCTCGTCTCAGTCCCTTATGGCAGGAATTCTGCTCTGGTAGATTTTTGATATGTTTGTCACGAAAACTTAGTAGGTGTCCTGGAGACAGAACTCACCATGACAAAAAGGTGAGACCTCCTCATTCCCTGCAGACTTTTCTCGCAATGGGGTCCACAGCACAGTTTTGTCTATTCATCCACCACAGCCTATCTGAAAGCCTGGCTCTGGCATCGGGCTCGCTCTGCTTTTGTCTCCTTTGCCTTTCTCTCCAACTCAGAGGGCTACAGACTGGTCTGTGACCTAATTCTCAAGGCTCTTAGGGAGTTCCTGACAATCAGGTGTTTTTTTTTTTTCCTTTTGGTGAGATCCTTGCTAACCATCATACATTTTAAACAGAGACCTTAGTGGGAGATTCTTTTTAAAATATTTTGAATCAGGTGTGGCGGTGCACACCTTTGATCACAGCCCTTGGGAGGCAGAGGTAAGTAGAGCTCCATGAATTCCAGGCTAGCCAAGTCTTGCTACATAGTGACACCCTGCTCAAAAAAAAAAATTCTTTTTTTTGAACTTTAATGGAATGACTCTTTGGTAACTCATTCTGGCTGAACTTTTACCTCAGAAACTGTGATGTAACAGCTACTTGCATACTTGTGCTGTGTTCTGCCTGCTGCTGGCTCTCCGGACCTCTCCTCAGAAGGAGCCATCACAGCTATAGCAGGTGCTAGCCATTTTCCTCCTCTCCTTGCATAGTTTCCTGGCCATGGAAACCCCACAGGTTTCAACACTAGTTGAAGTCTCTAGAGGTCAACACTAGTCTAACTGAGCTGAGTCTTAACTGCGTGACCTAAATTCAAATGATCACGTGGAGATGGCTTAATAATTTCAAAATTGTCAATCTAGTGACTCGTATGCTACTTGGACATGTTAAAATCCTGCAGTGTGGAAGTTCCAAAAAGTCCGTGTTGGAATCCAACTCCTTGGGATGTGACCATGTTCCTCTGGCTAGAAATGGGGTGTAACCTGTAAGAATGGCCAAGATCAAAGACACCCATGACAACTTATGCTGGAGAGGATGTGGAGTAAAGGGAAAACTCCTCCATTGCTGGTGGGCATGCAGGCTGGTACAGCCCCTTTGGATGTCAGTGTGGTGATTTCTCAGAAAACTAGGAAACCACCTTCCTCAAGACCCAGCAATACCACTTTTAGGTATATATCCAAAGGATGCTCATTCGTGCTGCAAGAACATGTGCTATGTTCATGGCTACATTGGTTGTCATAGGCAGAGCCTGGAAACAACCTAAATGCCCCTCCACTGAAGAATGGATAAGAAAAATGTGGTACACTTACACAATGAAGTACTACACAGCAGAAAAAAATAATGGCATCATGAAATTTGCAGGCAAATGAATGGACCTACAACACACACACACATACACACACACACACACACACACACACACACACAGTGAGGTAACCCAGATCCAGAAAGACAAACATCATATGTACTCACTCATAAGTGGTTTTTAAACATAAAACGAAAAAAACCAGCCTACAAATCACAATCCCAGAGAACCTAGATAACAATGAGGACCCTAAGAGAGACACATACATAGATTTAATCTACATGGGAAGTAGAAAAAGACAAGATCTACTGAGTAAATTGGGAGCACAGGGACCATGGGAGAGGGTTGAAGGGGAAGGGAGAGGCAGGGAAAGGAGCCGAGAAAAATATAGAGCTCAATAAAAGAAAAGAAAAGAAAAAGAAATGGGGTGTAAGATGTAACTAGTTAAGATGACGTCACACTGTAGTGGAAGTAGGCACTGCATCTACCTGGTGCTCTTATGGAAAGAAGACATTTGGACACACACACAGTTACTACCTGGAGACTCGGGAAGGAGACAGTCATGGTCATGCCAAGGAGAGACAGGAGCAAGTCCCTTCTTGCAGCCTTGAGTAGAGGTCAACCTTGCTACCAGGAAACAATATATCTGTGTCATTCACACTGCTCAGTCTGTGGTATGCTGCCAGGTGACAGTCCTGTGTCCTGTACACTTGATCCCTTACTTGTTCCTCACCTGTTGTCTGAGAGAAAAGGTCTTTTGTTCTCTTAGAATAATGTTGAGGGTGCAATGTTTTCTTTCCTTCTTTGTTTTTGTAGACAGGGTCTCACAACAGAGCTCTGGCTCACTGGCTCACTCTCTAGACCAGGCTGGCCTTGATCTCTCAGAGAACTGTTTGCCTTCTGCCTATTGTGTTCTGCTGGGATTAAAGATGTGTGTCACTACAGATGGCTTGACAATATTTTCTTTACCTTTCCTTTAAAAGTAAAAAGCAACAACTTGAAGACCATTTTATTTGAGTTTAAAGGAAACCCCAGGGCAGGCCAACTATAAATCTCAGAATCTGCCCAGGGGAGGAAGAGCCAAAGCCAGACTGAGTTAGGCTTGAAGGTTGGCCAGGAGTTAAACAAGCAGCCTTGGTTCTGGCCAGCATCTGAGAGAAACAGAAAGAAAGAAAGAGAGAGAGAGAGAGAGAGAGAGAGAGAGAGAGAGAGAGAGAAAAGAAAAGAAAGAAGTCACATCTTTCTGAGTCAGAAAGACAGATTCAGCCAACAGAACCCTGAGGTGGTTTTGGAATGACAGCCCTAGGTGACAGGCACTAACCACATTATTTCTTGAAGGGACAGTTATTCTTTCTGTCTCTTTAGCTCGACTTAAAGTGAATCCGACTCCCTGAGGGTTTTTTTTTTTCTCTTCTTTTTGGCTAGGAGATTGACACACCCAGCTCAAATAACTCTTTAGTTCTTGGGCAGCTTGGAATGTTAGGTATCCATCCAGCCAAAGCAACAGCTTTCCCTAATGGGCTTCCTCAGAGCCCTGACCAAAACTGCTGTAATGTCCTGCTCCGAAGAAGGGATATTGCTAAAGTCATTTTGGAGATGGGCTGAAATCGGGAGATGGACATCATCCACATTTACCCCTCAACTCTAGAGACACAGCTCCAAAGCTGTTCGCGGGCCCCAGTCCCTCCCACCCTCCCGTGTGACCTCCAGGCAATGGGTGGGGCTCACTCAAGAGAAGATAAGCAACCACAGTTCCCTTCTGGCATTTTTGACTGGAGAACCAAGGACCTTTCTGCAACTGTTGCTTTCAGGGACAAAGATTTCATGAAGTCAACCTTTTAAATTTATTTTGAAGTTTACTAACGTCTGGGAACCACGCCACCCGTGCTCTTGTTTATACAAATCGCAAGCCACGCTTCGGTTTTCAGCACTCTTTGGACTTCAGCATGAGTGCATCCCGCTGGCTGGCTTGTGCGGTGCTTTCTGCCTTCTGTGTTTTACAAGCCAGCTCTCTGGACAGTTTTGTTGCTGCTGTTTACGAGCATGCCGTGATCCTGCCTAGTGGCACGCTGTTGCCCGTGTCTCACAGTGAGGCTCTGGCATTAATGAATCGCAATCTGGATCTTCTGGAAGGAGCGATCGTAGCAGCAGCAAAGCAGGTATCCTCTCCTATCTCTCCAGAGGGAGCACCAAGTCCTGAGAGGGATGGGGGTAGGGGAGTGCGTAGGAGTGAGTGGGAGGGGTGGCGGTGGTTCTCAGGGAACTGGGTTACTGGGGTCAGTTATACTTACAATATTAGCAAAGCCAACGTTCTTTGTTTTATTAGAACATGATCACTTCAAAACTATCATATATACCTAACAAACGGAGCGAACAAAGAGGGAAATATTTTGCTCATTATTTAAGTAGGACTTTGGGAAAGTGGCTATATATTGAATATTTTTGTTTCCATTTTCTGCTAATCATGGAGGCTAAAGTATAATCAGGACAGGGACCAGTTGCTATTCTTCTTCATCTTTTTTTTTTTTTGAAAAAAAATTCTTTACGTGTATGAGTGCTTTGCCTCTGTGTATCTGTGTGTACTAGGTGTGTGCCTGGTCCCTTCAGAGGGCAGAAGAAGGCATTGGATCTTTTGGAACTAGAGTCCCAGGCAGTTGTGAACAACCTTGAGAATGCTGAGACTTGAACCTGAGTCTGGAGCCACCTCTCTAGCCACGCCCCCTTCATTAATATTTTAAACTATAATAGCGTCAGTGTATGTTTGTGCTCTGGTTTGTAGGAATCAGATAAGTTTAAAATCTGACCAGACAAGATCTAGAGTGTTCCAAGGGTGTGGCCACATAGACTTCCCACTTACAGCCCGGAAACAATTAAACCGGTTACAAACTCCTTCCACTAAGTATCATGGTCATCAGTTCATTTTAATTTCACCATCAAAGTATGTGTGTCAATGTTCTTGAGTTGGACAAAGTGTAAAGGTTAAAGCAAACTTAAAAGTGTGGTTAAGCTAGAGGGGTGTAAGATTCTCATAGGTCAGTTATAGACAAGGGATATGGAAAGCAAGGTAACAAAAATAAATACAAACACGCTGGGTGGCTGGTATCATGGCACATGCTATCAATCCCAGTGATCCAAAAGCAGAGGCAGGTAGATTCCCCGTGAGTCTCAGGCTAACCAGGGCTGCATACACAGTGAGATCCAGTCTCCACTAAAAATTTTCTATATATTAAAATTTAGAAGATTGTTACATGTTGATATTGTATTTCACCCTTTGTCCAAACTGTTTCTTTAAGGACCACGGCAACCTTCAAGGTGAATCCCCAGTTCCAAAGTGCCCAGGTTAGCTGAGAGATTACGCTAGGCAAGGAATAGCCTAGCTGACCTGTGTACAAGGTCCTTCCTCCCACGGAGCAGGAATCACGTTTGTGAGTGCTATGCAGGAGAATCCTGAGGCAGAAGAAGGGAGTGGGTTAAATCAGTCCAGATTCAGACAGGCATAACTGACCAAAGTTCAAAGAGGGGTTGACTTGGGGGAAGAAACAGGTTTATAATTAATGGGAACAGGGGGCTACAGGGCTGCGAATGGCATAGACAGCAGTTAACATTCATTAAAAAGCTCACCAACAGGAAAATGGCAGAATTTTAAAATAAAGTAAAAGTGTGTGGCAAAGTCGGACATATACTTGAAATCTGAGTGCTTAGGAGGTGGAGGCAGGAGGCTGAGGAGTTTAAATTTATTCTAAACTATACAGTTAGTTTGAGGCCAGGTTGGGCTACGTGAGATCCTGTTAGAACGAAACAAAACAAAACAAAACAAAACAAAACAAAACAGCTTGCAAAGAGAAAAAAATAGAATAAGATTAAAAGGTGCCCAAATAGTTATGGCACTCCCCTTTCTCTCTCTCTCTCTCTCTCTCTCTCTCTCTCTCTGAGATGGGATCTCTCTCTATAGTTCTGACTCTAGTAGAGGCTGGCTTCCACTCACTAGGCTCCTCTGTCACCCTCAGCTTGCCGCTTAATTTCCGACTCTTCCCGTAGCTCGTCTCTGAGTGTTTGCCTGTGGGAGAAGTGTTTTAACTCTCTGTTTCTAACAGGGTGCACACATTATTGTGACTCCAGAGGACGGGATATATGGCATGCATTTCACCAGGGATACTATCTACCCCTACTTGGAGGATATTCCGGACCCTCGAGTGAACTGGATCCCCTGTGATAATGCAGACAGGTGAAGAACCAGTACATGGAGGGGAGCGGGTAGGAGGACATCTAGCGGGGGAGTTGTGGGGAGGGTAGATGTGATCAGACTTTACTGTGTATACGTATGAGAAACTCTCAAATAGAAACAGGAAGAATTCAATCCGGGCTGGGTGTGGTGCACGCGTTTAATCCCAGCATCAGGAGGTAGAGGCAGGTAGATCTCTGTGAGTTCGAAGTCAACCTGGTCTACCAAAAAAAAAAAAAAAAAAAGAAAACATGAAGAATTCAGTTACTAACCTCTAGTTGTTTTACCTGGGAAGAGGGCTGTTGGAAACATCAAGAAGATTCTGTGCCAAACTGCCACTGCTATCTAACAAATAAGACCCAGAGTTTTCAGAGGTTTTAATCTACGCTCATCTGGCCCCATTTCTTTAGGCCTGTGATGACATCACACATCATGTTGGCAAGGCATGGCAGGGCAGTCTTAATTCACTTCAGGGCAGTCAGAAAGGAAAAAAAAAAGAGAAAGGGACCAGAATTCTGATACCTATTCAGAATTCAGAAGTGTCTCTCACTTCCATGACACAACCCTTCCCTTAGTTTCAACCTCTTAAAGTGTCGCCATCTTTAAGTAGTACCTTGGACTAAGAACCAGGCCTTCCACACAGACCTACAATTCACCAGTTTGGTTTAAGTTCCATCTCCTGTGAATATATTTATCAAGGTGATGCACACAAACGATGAGGTCACCAGTCAATGCTCCAACACCTGTTTCTGTTTCCTAGCACCACAGGGACTCACACCCAGTGTGAACACTTCTCGAGCCTGGAAGGATGACAGCATATAACTTGCTTTAGGTCTTAGAGGCCGTTGGTAGGAGGATCATGACCCAAGATATTAGTGTGTCTGTTGTTGTCTTTTCCCCTGGCTTCTCTCCTTGCAATGTTTTTCCCCTTCACTATCAGCCATTGTTTTCATTGTTCTAGGAAAATATTTAGGAAGGAGCAATTTCAGGAAGGAAGGAAGGAAGGAAGGAAGGAAGGAAGGAAGGAAGGAAGGAAGGAAGGAAGGAAGGAAAGAAGAAAGGAAGAAAAGAGGGAAGAGAGGACGGGATGGATGGAGGAAGGAAGGAAGGAATAGTTTCTTCTGGAATGCAGTCAGAGTGGGTACAGTCTATCATAGGAAAGACCCTATGGCAAGGAGGGTGAGACCATGGCTGGTGGCCACATCTCACCTGCAGCCGGGAAGTAGAGAGAGATGAATGTCCCTGTTCAGCAAGCTTTCTTCTTCCTTGATTGTTGTTGTTGTTGTTCTTGAGGCAGATTCTCACTATATAACCTTGCCTGGTCTAGAGTTTGATATTTAGACTAGGCTGACTTAAACTCAGAATCCCCCTGCCACTACCTCCCAAGTGTTGGGATTCAAGGTGAGGACCACCACAGCCATCTGAGGTGTATTTCTTGGAGGTATCATGTAGCTCGGTCTCCTAGTATTTAATTTAAATTGTTGGTCTATGTCTTTCAGAGAGTTTAGATCATCATGATTCAGAGCTATTATTCAAAGACACGAATTCACTGCTGTCATATTTTTCTCATTAAAATGTTTGGTATGTTCCTCTTTTCCCAGTCCTCCTTTGCTTATATACTGTTCTAGTGTGGTTTATTCTTCCCTGTAAATTCATAGGCACGAGAATCTCTCTTCCATGTGTAAAATTAGTTCCAGGATCTTCTGTAGGGGTATCCTTAATGGCCATGACTTCCTTTCTGTTTGGCTAACATGGCACGTTTTTCTTTCTCTCTCATTTATGAAGGGTGTTGGTTTTCCTAGATATAGTACTTGGGTTGACAGTTAATTTTTTTTCAAAGCCTGAAGTTCATTGCTCCATGCTTTTGATGTTATTTTTTTTTTATTTTTAGAAATCTACCATTATTCTGATAGATTTTTCTTTTACCTGTGACCTTCTGCTTCTCTATGACTTTCCAAATGTTTTCTTTCTTTCTTTTTTTTAGTAATTTTATTAAATTATAAAAGTTTCCATTTCCGCCCCTCCTCCCACCACCCTCCCACTCCCCCCACTCCCTTTCCTTCTCCTTCTCCATCCAAATGTTTTCTTAACTTAGAACGTTAGCTATACTGTTACATAGGGAAGTTCTCTTCTTGTCTTCATTGTTTGTTGTATACATTTGGGTGGCCATCTTTTTCCGTAACTCCAGGAACCTCCCTGCTACCATTTAAAAAAAGTAAAGATTTATTTTATGCGCATGAGTATTGTCTTCATGTATATATGTGTGCCATGTGCATGTCAGGTGCCTGGGAGTGTCAGAAGAAGCCCTGGGTGTCCTAGAATTGGAGGAAGAAATGGTTGTCAGCTACCATGTAGGTGCTAGGAACTTTTACAAGCAACAAGTAGTACTCTTAACCACTGAGCCATCTATCTAGTTCCTCTGTTAGTTATTTATTTAAAAGATTTATTTAGTTATTATGTATACAATATTCCTCCTGCCTGTATGCTTCAATGCCAGAAGAGGGCACCAGATCTCGTTATAGGTGATTATGAGTCTTCATGTGGTTGCTGAAAATAGAACTCAGGTCCTCTGGAAGAGCAACCAGTGCATTTAATCTCTGAGCTATCTCTCTAGCCATGTTATGATTTTATAAATATACGTTTTATGCCCTTAACTTGTATTTTTTACTTCTTCTGTGCCCATGTGTAGGGCCCGGGCCTTCCCTTCTCCTTGGGATGCAAATCAAGGACTGTTTTGGCTAACCAGCTAAACTTCCTGCTAAATTCTGTGCTCTGCTCTGCTAGCCTGGTAAATTAGCTGTAGGCCTTGTATTACTTTAAAATGGTAATTTCCCAACCTGCCCTGGAGAGCTCATGGCACCAAGGTCCCTCTACCCTGTCTGCCACTGCCCTGCTCCTCTCACCCACCTGCCTGCAGAGGAGTCCTCACACGGTGCCAGTTCCCCCAACCCCCTCTGGCTGGGAGGGATTTCCATTACTGGGGGGAAAGGTATATTAACTCTGGATAAAGCTAAATAAATTGGCATTCACCTGTTGGCGAATGACCCGGACTCTCTATGTGTGTGTGTCTTATGTTTAATCCCCAGACCCTTACCCAAGCTCGTGGCTTGGTACAGAGAGTGCTATCTGTACCAGGAAGGAGGTGCAGATTCGGGTGTTGCCCACACCCATGCATAAATTTGGCCTTTTAATGGTGTCCTTTAGATATTGCATGTACTGCTGGCATTTTTTTTACTTTTTATTTATTGTTGTCTGGGTGTCTTAATTTGTCCTCCTGTCTTTAAGCCTTGGTATTCCGTCTTCCACTTAATTCAGTCTGCTGCTAGGGCTTTCATACCCCCTTTTAAATCTCGTAGTGTTGTCCTTAGTTCATTTAGCTATTTGTCCTTGCTGTTTTTGATGAGGAGTCTATGTCCTCTTGAATTCTGTTCTCTGATGTCATCTATGAGTCTCTGGCTGACATTCTGGTCAGCACCCCGATACTCATGCCAGTGTGTTCATTGTTTGGTCTTTCTCTTTGAAGTTCATGTTTGTGGGATTGGAGATTTTCAGGAGTCTTGTTCCATGTTTTTTTCACATATCACGTATTTTCTATTTGGCATTTGCACAACTGGAATTAAGCTGTTGGATTAAAGAACAAGCAAACAAACAAAATAAACAAAAACTTCCTCCCTTCTTGTTTCAGCTGAAGTGTTTGCAGAATCCCAGAGGGACTGGTTGTAATAGGGTTGAGGCATTATGCCTTCTCTTTGGGCTGGGTTTGGAGTGTATGGTTTTATTATTATTATTTTATTAATTTGCTATTATTATTATTGTTGTTGTTGTTTTGATTTTTTGAGACAGGGTTTTTATGTGTATCCCTGGTTGTCCTGGATCTTACTCTGCATACCAGGCTGGCCTCAGACTCAGAGATCTGCCTGTCTCTGCCTCCTGAATACTGGAAATAAGGGCATGCATGTGCCAGCACTGCCCAGATGATATATGGTTTAATACCTAAGCCTTCAGTCTAGATGCTTAGGGCACCAGTCTCATGTCTTAATACCATTCCAAGAGCAAATTATCAACTCCAGAAGCAACCTCAGTTAAGGCAAGACCTGCATTGCAATTGGAATTCTTTCTCTTTATCCGGGCTCAGGGTACCTGCAATCCTCATCATAACCTAAGTGAATTTCAGTTGACAGGATTCTCTTCTGGAGATACCATCTCTCAGTGGGTGGGGAACCAGGTTTTGGAGTTTGGATACATGTACTTCCTACTTTTCTGTTGAACTGACTGATTGTAGAACCTTTCAGGTCTGCTGCTTCCACGCTACAGCATAATTTGTTGAGTCTCAGATGGTGGAGATTAATTTCTCAGTGTTTGCTTTCACAGTTTGTTGGAATATCATTTAAAATTGTGGTTTTTCTGGTTTTTGCTTCTGATCATCTTCATTTCCTTGTATTATCACAGTAGAGGATTGAGGGGGTTTTTCTTCACTACTTTGGTCAGAGTTTTATGGTACAGTCTTCCTTCTTAATACATCTAACATTCTTTAGGTGTGCACCTCTGACTGGCCTGGAATTTGCTGGAACTTGTAGCAGGCTGTCCTCACAAAGATCTGCCTGCCTGTGCCTCTGAGTGCTGACACTTGTACTAGCTTTTGATTTTATCTTATCTCCACCTTTTTTCTGCTTATCGTGGTCATTGCCTCTGGCCTTCCCATATTTCTCAACTTTTTGTTTGTTGCTTGGTTTGTTTCTGAGCTTAGGTATCCTGGATCTTTTGGATCTCATTATGTAGACCAGCTGGCTTTGAACTCAGAGAGATCTGACTGCCTCTGCCTCCCCCTTCCCTAAAATGCCACAACACCTGTCTGATTTATTTATTTATCTATTCATTGTTTATCTTTTTGAGACAGGATTTCTCTGTACAGCCCTGGCTGTCCTGGAACTCACTCTGTAGACCAGTCTCGCCTTGAATTCAGAGAGATCCTCCTGCCTCTGCTTCCAAGTGCTGGGATTAGAGGTGTGCGCCACCACCGCTGAGCTTAAATTTCTTTTTTTTTAAAGACAGAATTTCATGAATTCCAAAGTGGCACTGCGTTTATTATGTGACTGTGAATGACCTTGAACTTCTGTCCCCGTCCCCTGCCATTACTGTCCTAGCGCAGGGATCACTGGGATTATAGCTATGTCACCATACCCAGTGTATTCAGTGATGGGGAGAGAATCCTGTACTTCAAGAATGTGAGGCTGCTAAACAAGCATTCTACCAACTGAGATACATCCCTAACCTTCACGTCTCTCTCTCTCTCTCTCTCTCTCTCTCCTCAAGGCACAAATTGAAACTTTTAGGTTTGTGGAAAAAAGAGAGTGAAGCTTGCCCCTACTCTTCCATTTTCAGGAACCAGACTTCTACTTTTATCCTTGCCCTCAAATTTGTACTAACTACTCTAACTGCTGATTCTGGGATTAAAGACATGCTATCACCTAGCTCCAATTTCTTATCCTTGCTGCTTCTTTGTATGTCTTTGTTGGTGTTTGACTATTTCAATCTTGAGATTCTTATTTTCCTCAGGGTTTGCTGTATCTCCTCTTCAAAATAGGGAAAGAAAGGATCTCTTATACCCTGGTACTCAAGATCAGGTTTTAAATAATGGAGCATTTGTGCAAGGACTGCTTTTTCTTTGTCTGTATCCGTGTGTTCAGATTTTAGAGTGTTTTTTATTTTTTATCTTTCCAGCATTCTTCTACGTTTGTTTGTGTGTTTTTTGTTTGCTTGTTTTTGTTTTTCGAGACATAGTTTCTCTGTACAGCCTTGACTGTCAGTCCTGAAACTTGCTCTGTAGACCGGGCTGGCCTCAAACTCACAGAGATCCGCCTGTCTCTGCTTCCTGAGTGCTGGGATTAAAGGCATGCACCACCACTGTCCAGCTTCATTCTTCGAGGTTTTGATTCACACACAGTGCTTCTTCTACTAGGCCTGGTTTCATGAACAGAGCGTGGAAGGTTTTGCTTTATAATATCTGAAATATGCTGCAGATATTTTGAAATGAATATACAATGGCATGTACAATTATAGATTTGATACATATTATGATTCAAAAGTAGGTATGGCTGGACTCTTAACCCCAGAATAATTTTCTACATTCGATTTCTCACTATTAGTGTCCTCTAAGGTCTCTTGTCTTGATACTTTTTGCCTACCTATTAATTGGAATCATTGTATATACCTAACCATAGATTTTAGTTAAAAGCTAATGCACATTTTTTTAAAAAAATTTCTCTCCCAATGGACATGTACTAGATTTGGCTACACCCCGGTACAGAAGAGACTCAGCTGCCTGGCCAAGAACAACTCAATCTATGTTGTGGCAAACATGGGAGACAAGAAGCCATGCAACACTAGTGACCCTCAGTGTCCTCCTGATGGGCGTTTCCAGTACAACACTGACGTGGTGTTTGATTCCATGGGCAAACTGGTTGCACGATACCACAAGGTGATGCTGATTAATGAATTAACTAACTGAATGACTATGGAATATAAGGGAGGAGAGCAATTGTTATTTACAGCAATAAACGACCTTCAGAGGGAGAGCAGTGACATCACAGAAGGGAGGATTTAGATGTAACCAGTTCCGATAAGGAGACCCAAGGCTTTCCCGGTGCATCCAGCAACCAGGGAGTCTGCCAAGTGGGGTAGGTGAATGCAGTTGAGTTTTTTTCTTTTTTAAATTTTTTGTTTTTACTCATTGGGGGCCACCACCCAGTTCCCAATTAAGTGCATAGAGACTTATTCTTACTGATGAATGCCTTGCCATGTTTCTAGGCAGTTTTTCTAACTTAAATTATCCCATTTCTATTTAGATATATTTTGCCTTTTGGCCTTTCTTTATTCTACATGTCTTTCTTTCCTTCTTATTCCATGGCTGGCTGTGTGGGTGGGTGGCTCACCCCTGGCATCCTCCTCTCCTTTTCTCGTTCATAGCTCTCTTCTCTCTGGAACTTAGTTCTTTCTCTTTTTTCCCTATTTATCCTCTCTGCCTTCCAGTTCCATGTATCCTTTTGCCTTCCTAGCTATTGTTTCTTTACTAGGCCAATCAGGTGCCTTAGACAAAGTAACATAGCTTCAGAGTTAAACAAATACACCATGAAAGAATGCAACACATCTTTGCATCACTAAACAAATGTTCCCCAGCATAAACGAATGTAACACATCTTCAACTAATATTTCACAACAGGTGAGAGTCACCTGGAGCCACCTTCATTGAACTACTCTGTCATCTTTCGAGTTTTGACTTTTACATGGGCCAAAGGTGAATTAAAAGGGCCTTATGGGGCAGATTTAGTCCTGAGGAAGGAGCACAGTTCTTTGCCCATGCGGAGGTGTTTTGTCAATAGCTGTCTGTTTTGTCACTTTGTAAGACTGAAGACCGTCTCTATGGGGAGTCGCTGGGAAGGGAGTCGCTTGCTCCATCCTACTGGAGTGCCTCTGATTTTCTAAGGTGCTGCTCTTCCATAAAGACAGTGGTCACAGATGTAACGCACACTGTTGAATGAAAACATTTTACATGTAGAGTAACGTCCTGGGAAGGGCCAAAGAATTTTATTCCTCTGCATTGTTTGCTTATTACAGCAAAACCTTTTCATGGGTGAAGAACAATTCAATGCACCCGTGGAGCCTGAGTTTGTGACTTTCAACACCCCATTTGGAAAGTTTGGGATCTTCACATGCTTCGATGTACTCTTCCATGATCCCGCTGTCAGCCTGGTGACCAAGTTCCAGGTGGACACCATACTGTTCCCAACTGCTTGGATGGATGTTCTGCCCCATTTGGCAGCCATTGAATTCCACTCAGCCTGGGCTATGGGCATGGGGGTCAATTTTCTCGCAGCCAATATACATAATCCCTTGAGGAGAATGACAGGTAGGTAATGTGTAGTCTTTGAACTTTAGTTAGAAAGAGCATTTAAAAAAAATAGTTTATATATCTTTTATTTTTCGACTCCCATTTTATTTTACATTTTAAACTTTCTTTTTATTTATCTTATGTGTCTTTTATATCATGTATCTTGATCATATTCATTTCCCCATTCCTTTACAACTGTCCTCGGCCCCTGAACCTCCCCCCCCCAATAAAACAAAATTTAAGGGAAAAAAGAAAAAAAGGGAGAAAAATTTTTAAAAATCTCATCCTGGAACCTGCAGTATGACACAGGGAGTCACACAGTAAGCCCTTTTGTCCATATATCTTTACTTGCAAGTGTTCATTGCAAAGAGTCATTGGTCTGGTTCAAGGCCTTTGGTTTCTACTGCACTATCAATGCTGGGCCCTCATTAGGACTCCTGTTGGGCATCCTATTGTTTCTCTGTGTTATGGAGATCCCGCAGCATCGCTCTGTGGGTCAGGTCCCTTCACATACTCGAGCAGATCGTAGATGGGGTGGATGTTGGGGCAGGCCAAGTTATAACCCTGGGTCTAGGCCTGAGCAGCTGCAGGGTTAGTCCACCTGCTAGTTCTCCCCTGTCCTACCCACCAGGGTGAGCTCTCCAGCATTGCCCTGGCTAATTTCCCTCTTGAGCAAGGGGCAGGCCAGTTTTCTTGTTTTCATGCCCTCAGGGTTAACTTTCTCACACCTACACCATCAGGGCCAGCTCTAGTGTGTTGCCCAGGTGAGGGACTGGAACCACTCTCCTGAGTGCTGCAGTTGGTGAGGGACAGGGACAGCCCTCCCCCCTCTAATGACCCCCATGCCAGCTCCTCCACCTATCTCAGGTGTTGATGGGCAGGGGGTGGGGGAAGCACATCTCTCCTCTGCCCATGCCACCATATCAGATATCAGATGTCAAGCCCTACTTTTTAAAAGTTAATATACTCTATCTTTTTTATAGAAAATATTTACTAAAGATTTATTTATTTATCTTATATATAGGTATTTCACATGCATGTGTGCAATACCCTTGGAGGGCATCAGATCCCCTGAGACTGGAGTTGCAAACAGTTCTGAGTCACCATATCGGTGCTGGGAATTGAACCCTGGTCCTGGGTAAGGGTAGCCAGTACCCTAACCTCTGAGCCACTTCTCTAGCCCAACTTCTAATTTTGAATATTTAGTTGGGATATGCTGTCCATTTATTCTTTATTAAAAGCGTTTTGTAACTGGGTGTGATGGAGCACAGTGGTAATCTCAGCATTGGGGAGACTAAGGCTGGAAATTTTTGAGTTTATAGCCAGCCTGGGCTACATAGTAAATTTTAGGCCAGTTTGGACAAGATGGAAAGGTGCTGTTTTAAAACAAACAAACACACAAAACCCAATAAATAAAGAATAATAAAGATCCAAATAGACCATGCCTTCATTTGGCAGATTTATTCACTATTTTTCAGTTTGAATATTTATTTAATATTATTCAGCATTCATTCTTGAAATGTTTTTATTGTCATGTTCTATGTCTGAATTTCCTCTTGTGTTTGTTCCCGGTCAACATATATTACAGAAATGAGTGAAATATATTTCTTAGATGGGGCAAAATGATGAGTTTCAGATAAAAGTGACAAACACAAAGTCTCCTTATTTTCCTCTTTCCAACCGTATTTCCAGGAAGTGGCATCTATGCACCAGATTCCCCAAGGGCCTTTCACTACGACAGGAAAACCCAGGAGGGCAAACTCCTAGTCGCGCAGCTGGAGTCCCACCCACGCCGCTCTGCCGTGAACTGGACTGCGTATGCCAGCAGTGTAGACGCACCCGCAACGGGAAACCAGGAATTTCAGAGCGTTGCTTTCTTTGATGAGTTTACCTTTGTGGAGCTCAAAGGAATCACAGGGAATTACACTGTGTGCCAGAATGATCTCTGCTGTCAACTAAGCTACCGGATGACTGAGAAGCGAAGGGATGAAATCTATGCCCTTGGGGCCTTTGATGGGTTGCACACCGTGGAAGGGCAGTATCATCTGCAGGTAAGGCCACTGTCAGGAAAGTTCCTGGACCAAATGCACACAGCTGGGTAAAACTGAATGTCCGATTATCAGTGGAAGATTGTTTTTCTTAGGGTACACAAAAAGGAAATATTTTAGTCAGGGTTTCTATTCCTGAGATGAAATATCACTGTCAAAAACAAGTTGAGAAGTGTCGTGGTCTCTGCTCTGTCACTACAATGAGACTCCATGACCAAGGCAAACTCTTAAAAAAGAAAGCATTTAATTGGGTCTTGCGTACAGTTTAGTCCATTATCATCATGGCCAAGAGAGTGTTGCACAAAGTCAGCCATGGTGCTAGGGAAGTAGCTAAGAGCTCTCTACACCCAGATCTGCAGGCAGCAGAAAGAAACACTGGACATGGTTTGGGATTTTGAAACATCAAAGTCCACCCCCAGTGACACACTTCCTTCAAAAAGGTCACACCTCCTAATCCTTTCAAATAGTGTCATTCCCTGGTGACCAAACATTCAAATCCCTGAGCCTATGGGGGTCATGTTTATTCAATTCACCACAAGGAGTAAAGGGTTTATTTTGCTTACACTTCTACAATCACTAAAGAAGTCCAAGTTGGAAGATGAAGAGAGAAGCTGATGCAGAGGCAGTGGAGAGTGACAACATCAATACTAAAGTTATTCAGATTACAGATAAAGGATAATGTAGTACCTAGGATATATGTCCTGCATGGACAAGTGTAGGCAATCTCTGAGTGCTCATCAATGCCGGCCTTGCTTTATATAGGATTTAACACCAAGCATGCACTCAGTGCTCACTATAGATAGAGTTGTCCCCCGAGATTGTTTCCAGAGTAATTTACTGCTGAGATTCAGGCATCTCTCAGTCCTCAGCAGGAAGGATGCAGGCATCTCTCCATCCTCAGCAGGAAGGATGCAGGCATCTCCCAGTCAGTCCTCAGGAGGAAGAATGCAGGCATCTCTCAGTCCTCAGCAGGAAAGATGCAGGCATCTCCCAATCGGTCCTCAGGAGGAAGCATGCAGGCATCTTCCAATACTCAGCAGGAAGGATGCAGACATCTCCCAGTCAGTCCTCTGGAGGAAGGGTGCAGGCATCTCCCAGTTCTCAGCAGGAAGGATGAAGGCATCTTCCAGTCCTTAACAAAAAAAGGGAGCCTATTACAAAATGCTCAGATAGTCTGCATTTTGATTCCTTGGTCTGGCTGTCAGCTTATCTCACTTGCAGTGCTCTCCTACTAGGACTATTTGTTAACATTTTTTGCTCTATATAATCTATTCTGTATACTATTACAAAATAAATTACGGTGCTTTTTCTGATTATGTGACCTTCGCGCTGAAAATTTCTCACTAAACTACTAATTGACAAATCAAATGCTTGAATATAGGAAACCCAGGAAGTCTTGTATGTGGTCCCTGTATCCTCTACTTACACATGCTCTGGGATTCTGTATATTGAGATGCTGCTAGCATTTATCCCAAACTTCCAGCATCTATGGACTCTCTACATGCTTATAAAATTTTATTCCTTTATCAATGGTGGCTCCCACCTGCTCACCTTTCATAGCATTTTTCTAGCTGTTATCCTTGCCTTAAAAAATGCTTGTCACATCTGCAGGACCTTCGTCACTCCTCAACTAGGTTGTTAACTTCATTTATATGTTCCCAGGACATCCTCTGTTTGGCTTCATCAAAGTCATAACAGGTCACATTCATCACGTCCTTGAGACTGACATCCCTGGAAGGCTGGAACTGTGCTACTGGGTGACATTTTGCTTACTGTGCAAATGCTCCAGCCACGCTGCTCATTTCCACAAACATTTGAATGTTCAGGATTATACTAGATGCAGAACAGCATTAGTGATGGAAGGTCAAGTGCGAGCCATCCGCTGGAGGAATACAGTGCCGAGGGGTGCAGAAAGCCATGTGAGCATGCAGTTCCTCGGGGACTGACCTGTGATACAGCATAGTCTGTGTATTTGGCTGGAAGAGGATCAAGTGGCTGAATTTGATCTAATCTGGAGATTAGGCATTTCTAGAGCTGCTGCTTGTGAAAAGAATGGGAGTGTGAAGGTATCTGTCACAGCCCTAAATATCTATGTTAGATCCCTTTGGTGGTACATTACAGGAAGCTCTGAGGACTGAGGTAGTTTATAATTAAGTATATTAGTTGTTCAGCAATAAACCAAATGACTCCGATGAAGAAGAAACATTTTACCCGCTAAAGATGCAAAGGCAGTTTTCTAGAACAGGGAATGTCAATTGTCTGTCTGTCTTTCTGTCTTTCTTTCTTTCTTTTTTTTCTTTCCTCTTCCTCCCTCCCTCCCTCACTCCTTTCCTTTCTCCCTTCCTCCCTCTCTCCCTCCCTCTCTCCCTCCCTCTCTCCTTCCTTCCTTCCTTCCCTTTTTCTTTCCCTTCCTTCCTTTCCCTTCCTTTTATTATTGCTATACAAATGGGTTCCTATTATGTGTCCCTGAGCATGTAGTTCAGATTAGTCGTGAACACTTGGTTCTGCCTCCATCTCTAGAGAACTCAGATTACAGGCCTATGTCACCACATCCAGCCTATTTGATGGCTTCAGTTTTTTTTTTTAAAGAGTAGAGAGCCTCAAATTATCGAGTGAATGAAAACATCTTCACCCAGCTCTATGGTAAAATTAACAAGTGAACATACTGTGTACAGCATGGCCCTTCGATGCATGACCGCACTGTCGAGCGACCAGATGAAACTAATGACACACTCATCTTGTTACTGACATCTCCCTTTGTGTTCCTCATCCAGATCTGTACTCTGCTGAAGTGTAAGACCACCAGTTTACACACCTGTGGGAGTTCAGTGGACACGGCTTCTACCACGTTTGAGATGTTCTCCCTCAGCGGCACTTTTGGAACCCAGTATGTCTTCCCTGAGGTGTTGCTGAGTGAAGTCAAGCTTGCACCTGGGGAGTTTCAGGTAACCATCTTTGCTTGATGTAGCCAGCTAACTGAGTAAAAGAGGAAGCATTTTGACATCAAAACTTAGTCCGAAATCTTCCAAGGTAACATTGTCTTTGAGGATCATAAAAGACCCTGTGCAGACAGGATTTATTGCCCGAAGATTAGTATAATCTGCATGTCCTTTTTGTCTTTATATGGAGGAGACTGGGTTTTACAAGGTCTGCTGAATAGGAACACAATTCAATGACAGTTGAATACTTCAGGACCCATCTCAACAGAGAAGCCCCTTAGAATCACTGGCTGGCCTAGGGGGCTTAATGCCCAGTAAGATTACAGGAAAAAATGAGGGGAGGAAAAAGTGAAGGAGAGAGAATTCTACAGTGGTTGCTGTCTGTAAGAAGGAGAACCTCCAAAGCCCAGAAAGAATGGCTTGCTTCATAACCTAGTATGGCCTCCGAGTCACCTTCTTCCCTACTGGGCAGGTCTCAATGGTACTCCCTTCCTTACAGAGTGATTGCAGGGGTGAGGGCTCACTGTGGGAGCTTAGGGGCCGTGGGGAGCCAGTGACAATAATGAACGCAGTCCAAACCCCACCTTGACCCACTGCTCTTGACTTTTTGCCGTGTCTTCATGGGTCTGGAAGGGCCAAATTAGAAGCTCCTACCTCCAATTTGTCATACTAACTAATTCATGGCATGTTTCCCAGACAAGTACACGGTCAGGCATCCGTTACATGCATTAAATAATAAATGAGCCAGTGTCAGTTCTGCACTTAAATTTTCTTACCCGCTGCAACATTTTAAATCTTGCAAGAATGCAGTCCGGCCATCATTTTAATCTGTTTCTTATGAAAAGTACTGTGGGATGTTTGTAGCTTCAATAGACCTTATCTACTTTTCTGCGTTTTAACCAGGTGTCAAGTGATGGGCGTTTGTTTAGCCTGAAGCCAACGTCTGGACCTGTGTTGACAGTCACTTTGTTTGGGAGGTTGTATGGGAAGGACTGGGCATCGAACGCTTCCTCAGACCTCATAACACACTCACTGATGCTGCTAATGCTCATTATGACACCTATTATACATTACTTATGCTGATACAATTTTTACGTTCTTTATTTTATTTGGAATAATTTAAAATTGGTGGATGAAGGAAAGACTTGTTTGTCCACAGTGGACTTTGGTGTAAATAAATAAAGGCCTTTTTCTTTCTTTCTTTTCTTTTCTTTTCTTTTCTTTTCTTTTCTTTTCTTTTCTCTTCTTTTCTTTTTTTTTGAGAAGCATATGCGCCCCGGATGCATTTCAGGACAATTAATAGAACTTTGAGCATTGGTCTGCCTTGGAACTGTACTCTTAGACCACACATATTTTATTCATAAGGAATAAAAGTCACAATGAAAAGACATGTCAGAATATCATAATATTTACTAGAGGTTTGAATATTGTTGCCTCATTATGATATACATCCTACTCAATTAAGCTTAAGATTTCCAATGAGTTTGTTCATTTATTCTGTTGAGTATTTATCTAAACAATACATTTCCATTCTCTTATAGGCCAACTCCAAATCCTGTCTTTTTAATTATTAGTTTTTGTTTGTTTATCAAGACAGGGTTTCTCTGTGTAGCCCTGGCTGTCCTGGAACTCGCTCTGTAGACCAGGCTGGCCTCGAACTTACAGAGGTCTATTTGCTTCTGCCTCCCGAGTGCTGGGATTAAAGATGTGTGCCACCACTGCTCTGCTGTTCCTTTAATTCTTAAATTGAAGTCCCAACTCCTGTGACCTCAGAGTGTGACTGTTTGGGGAAATGGTGAATTTAAAAGAGGAACCATGAAGTCATCATCATGAACTTTAATCCAATATGACTGATGTCCTCAGAAGAGATTTAGGACAAAACAGCTTTGTGGGAGGCTGGTGTGAACACAGAAAAAGATAGCCATTTACAACAAGGAAAGAGACCTCAGAAGAAAGTGAACCTGCTAATATGCTGAACATCCAGGCCCCCAGAATCACGAGACAATAAATTTCTCTTTAAGTGTTCCAGTCTTCGACTCTCTGTTACAGCAATTCAAACAACAACAGCAAAACCAACAAAGTTCTCTCCTTGGCCTCATTTTCAAATCTAAAGATTTGGACAAAACGATAGCTAGGCCCTATCACTGAGACTCCAGACTCCAACAGAAACTCCAGAGAAGATGGTTCATGCATTGACACTACAGCCACCAGATCACTGAATAGCCGCTAGAACTAGGAAACCAGACAGTCTCATTTTGGAAACTATGTTTAATATAAAACTAAATGTTCTCTTTCAGTAACAGCAAAATAGTTAGATATTATACCACTTAGAGAAATAAAGGGTGACTTTTAAATAAACAAAAGGAAATCTCTGGAGGATAGTCCATACAGCACTAATATATTCTTCTAAGACAAAATGCTCCCTTCTGAAAAGGAGAGCAGGAACTCACAGTCGTGATTCAGTATGGGGTTGCTCTGTGTGTGTCTGTATGTGTGTATACACACAAGAGAATATGTGTGTGTTCCTATTCTTGTTTTTGAGTATGGGTGTGTGTGTATGTAGAGGTCATAGGACAACCTTGGGATGTCATTCTTCCACCTTGTTTGAGACAGCTCATTCTAGTAATCATTGTTTGTATGCAAGGCTGGCTAACCACTGAGCTTCTAGAGATTCTCCCATCGTCATCCCCCATCTAACCAGAGGAGAACTGGTGGTGTGGGATTCCCCTTTGCATGCTATATTTTATTACCATTGGTTATTGAAAAGGCTGTTTCAGCCAATGGCTTAGTGGAGTAAAGCCAGGCAGGAAATCCAAACAGAGGTAATAGAGAAAGTGGTTGGAGTCAGGGAGATGTCATGTAGCTGCTGAAGAAGACAGATGCTAGATCCTTACCAGTAAGCCACAGCCTCGTGCCAATACATAGATTAATAGAAATGGGTTAATTTAATAAGAGCTAGCTAGAAAGACGCTTAAGCTATCGACCAAACAGTGTTGCAATTATTATAACCTCTGTGTAATTATTTGTGTCCAGGCAGCTGGGTAATGAATGAGTAGTCTCCACCTACAAAATGGTGTTACAGCACACATGATGTAGTTTCTGGCTCTTCTGTGGGTTCAGGAATTCTGATTATAGGTCATGAGGCTTACATAACAGGTGCTTTATCCTCTGAGCTAAAAGATACTGATTTCTTGCTCCATGGCGCTTAATGCCACGCCACAATTGCATCTTTACCTTTTTAAGAGGTAAGTCCATTCCTCAACAACAGTTTTGCAGCTATAGAGTCTGGGAGAATGCAGACTAAGGGCTAAGGAGAAAGTACATGATGAAGATTAACCTATGTGTGTGTCCTGGAAGAAGGATCAAAGTGAGTTGATCATATCTGTTGGTGTGTCACAGCGAATAAAATCTTAACATGAAGAATGGAATTGTCTCAGGTCTGGAAGGTAAGTTTGCAATGATAAGTGAACAATTCATGAACAAAACAGTGAACAGAGTGAGCCTGTGCATGTCTGTGTGTTTGTGTGTGCGTGCGTGCGTGTTCAGGACACATGTGCATGCTTGCGTGCAGATCAGAGATCAGTGTTAAGTGTCCTCCTCAATCCTTCTCCACCTTGTAGCGTGAGACGACATCCTTTAACAAGGAGCTTGCTGAATCTGCTAGCCTGTCTCTGCCTCAGTGGTAAGACTGTAGGCATGCACAGTCATGCCTGGCTTTTCATGTGAGTATAGTGTCTCTGAACTCAGGTCCTCAGACTTAAGCAGCAAGCTGTTCAGTCACAGAGCCATCTCCCCAACCGTAAAAGTGCATCCTTTTGATGTTCTGTTTTGAAATTGCTCTTTCTGGTGAAAGGACCACAGAGATAGCAAACACTCTTATCATCTAGAGCAGCTAGTTAGACATCAATGTGTTTTATAGGCTTTGCCATCATGCCAAGGCAAAGAGGATTCACCTGTCACTATGACAGTAAATTATCTGATAAATAGTTGATGTTTTGTCAAGTGCATTGAAGACATGCCAATTAGATAAAATTTAAATTGAGTTATGAAACTATTACTATCACCAATTATGGTGTTGATTTTATGAAATTTGTGGTAAACCAGTTGACTCTCCATCTATGGTAAAGTTTTATCTTGTTTTACCTAAACAATTAATTGAGAGCTTATTTGCTGATAGGATATGAGTGAAAATGAGCCAAAGTCCTGCGTGCCTAGTACTAGGAAAATATGTATTGTAAAGGTTAATTATCAAAACACTGTAGTGAGAAAGTAAAATCTGATAGTCTGGGATTATCTTCCCAGGCATACATGTAAGTTAACGAAAGATATGAAAACGGCCTTCAGGGACTGCCACTAACATAGTACAATACTTTTAGTGATTAGGAAAACTTTAAATACTATTTTGAAAATGCTTGAAAACTGAAATTATTATTTTTACCTCATCTGCTGTTAGAATCTCATTAATAAGTCTTTCCTACTCAAATAAGTACAAAAACCCATAGCTGGACAGTGGGAAAAGTGTGAGACACCGTGAAACACTGGGTCCTAAAGGGGATGTAATGTCTTCATCAAATCCCTCCTTTCAGGGCTCAAGGACCTCTGCCATAGAAGAGGAGGCAGAAAGATCGTAAGAGTCAGAGGGGATGGCAGACACCAAAAACACACAAGGCCTTCAAACCATAGGAGGATAAACATACTTGAGCTCACAGAGACTGCGGCAGCCTGCAAAGGGCCTGTGTGGGTCTGGACCAGATGGAGTAATAGAGAGGAAGTAGACACAAGCCCCCATCCCTAACACAGAAGCTATCTCCAATCGACAGTCACTTGCAAAGGAAAATTTAGTTTTCTCCAAGGAAGTCCAAACCACCTTTAAGGGTAGGCCCCATGCCCAGCAACAAACGGTCAACACAATACTAACTCAATGGTATTTTTGGAGGGCTTTTGTCTCACAATGCTTTGTCTGGGTATTTTTTTAATCTTACAGTTTTTTTCTCATATATTATAGTTTCTGATTTTGTGTTTCTGCAGAATTTCTGTTTGTGCTCGTGTGGGAGGATGGAGAGATTCCCCTACTCAGCTACCCATAGATGGGTGTGGGGTCAAGTTCTTGTGAATGGAGTAAGGTTTGTTTACTCTTCGGGTGTTTGGAGGACACGTGAGAGAAAGCTATAGAAAGGGTTAAATCATCTTTTATTTGATATTTTTCTTCCAGTTTCTAGGTGGTGGTTAGGAACCGGAAATCAGGCAAATTCAGAACAGAATTTCTTTACTGACCCATTGTTATAATTTATCAGATTCTTGGATCTTTGCTTTGTAAATAGTTGGTGAAATTCTTTAAAGTCTTGGAAATACATCTGGGACTTTGTGCAATGTTCCGGGCTCAGGAACGGGTTGAGGGTCAATAAAGGTCTTCATGTTCTCTGTGTCTTCTGTTTCCCACAATTCCTCCTCCTCTCTGTCCTGTCCTTGACTGTCCTCTCCCCCTTCCTGCTTCTTCTCTGCATCATTACTGTCAGCAGCTGCATAGATAGTCTGGTCATGGTCAGCTTTCAGGAGTTTGTAAGATACAAGAAAGAGATTCACATGGCACACTGTGGGAAACCCACGCTTCTTGATTGGCACCTAAGTTCCCCCCCCCCACAACGTTTCTCATCCCACAGAGGAAAAAAAAAATGCAAAATAGCCACCTCTGCTCTTACTGACTTCAGTTCATTATGGGCTTTTGGAGTCAAGACACCCAATGTACATGGGCTTCCGAAATCTGTGCAAGACTGCCCTCTGCAGGTCTGCATGAAACGAATACCTTTACTAGGGTCTAGTAGGAGAAGAAATCCACCTGTTGGCTGAATGTGAATGTTCACGACTGCAATCCCAGAGCCCAGGAATTGTTGGCAGGAAGGGAACTTCAGCGTCATCCTTGGCTACATAAGAAACTCAGGGTCAGACTGGGCTGTTGGCGACCCTGTCTCAAAGCAAGCAAAGAGACAAACAATGACAACAAAAATAAAGCAACGGGCAAGGTGCAGTTTCTTTTTCGCTGTTTTGAGACAGTGTCTTACTATGCAGACCAAGCGAGTTTTGAACTCATTATACATCCTCCTGCCTCAGCCTCTCAAGTGCTGAAGTAACAGGTATACACCACCACATTCAGCCTTGAGGTGTCATTTCTTTCAGAAAGATAACACACTGCCTAAAATAAAAAATGCAAACAGATTGCCTTGTTAAGACACCTCCTCCTCCTCTTCTTCTTGCTTTTTTGAGATAAGATTTCTCTGTGTAAAAGCGCTGGCTGTTCTGCAACTTGCTTTGTAGAATAGGCTGGCCTTGAACTCACAGAAATCCCTCTGCCTCTGCTTCCTGAGTGCTTGGATTAAAGGTTCGCACCACCACCACCCAGCAGTTTTTCTTTTTAAAGTTATTTATTTTTATGTCTTGTCTGCAAGTATGTATGTTTACTGCCTGCATGCCTGGTGTCTGCAAAGGCCAGAAGTCCCTGGAATTGGAGTTAAAGGTGATTGTGGGCTCCCATGTGGATGCTGGGAACCAAATGCTGGTCTTCTGAAGGAGTTCTTAATTGCTGGACCATTTCTCTGACATGCTATTCTATTTATATGAATGAAGAAGTGACAGATAACCCTCTAAAGCTCTACCCTGTGATGTTCATGGAAAGTCTCTGATTCAGTAGCATCATGATGGCTTTAGTCATCCAATCTACTCCCTGAAAGGAGTTTTAGGAGATTTACAAGATCTGCCAGCTTTTAATAGTACATCTCTGAGACTCTGAATTTAATACACACACACGCACACACGTGCACACACACACACAGGCACATATACAAACACACATGCACAAATTCACACAAAGGCACATATACAGACATATTATTTTCACTTTTGTTTCAGTCTCAATACTGTTATTAATATTTCATAACTGTTACTAAGACTTTAACAAATTCCAGGAGTTGTGTTACACCCTGCACCTAGAAAGATTCTACACATGCTAAGTTGTTTAGATATAAATGCTTTAG